TAGTAGTTTAAGCGCAAACTAGGGGTTTCCTTGACTCTCTATTACAGAAAAATAAATATTTTGTTTGAAATTGTTGGGAAATGTGATTCAATATAGAACCAAGCAGTAAGAGTAGTTAATGTATTACATAATCGAATACAACAACCATGAGCACTAGGACCATATGACCAAATTTGGATGTAGTTAAGTACAATGCGGGCACAGCCATGTACAAATCTCTTCCATGAGGGTGTGACATACTCTTCCAAGCGTGCTGCACTGTACAGCCCTACCTGTGATTGTAAGATAAAATTGCAGCCTTTCTGTAGTTCTGTAGTCATGGTTCTGTAGACTTAGGTGTCTTTGTGAAGTTTCACAATACAGAGTTTCAAAAGTACACAATACCTTTTTTAAAGCTTTCACTCCTTGTGGTCTTTTCTCAAGTCCCATGTAAAGTCTTCCAAGCTTCAGGTACATAGAAGCCACATTGAGAGAGTACTGTGGGTAATGCACACTGGGAAAGAGGGGAAATGTGTGTCAGTGTCAAAGACGAGAGATATAAAGGGCCTTATTATTACTATTGTTAAAAATTTTTTGATACAAATAATCCATTATACCTATAGGGTTCCACTATTTTCTCGCCATACTTCATGGCTCCATCCCAGTCCTGCATGTAGAGACAGACGCCCATGGCCTGGTACATCATGTGCAGCATGTACACATTGGTGTCAACAAACAGGGATCCCATTTTCTCCAGACTTAACTCACAGATCTCTAGCAGCTCACTGGGAGGTGCTGTGGAGTCAAGGACTTTTAAAATCAATTACTACTTTAAAGATTGTGTTATCCTGTGGTTTAGTGTCTTGCAATATTGACAATCTTTAGTAGAAACTGGCATCAAATTTTAATTAAATTCACTCGACTTGTACATTAGGTCACCCTTGTGATTTTATTCTTTATTCTGATTTTGTTACTTCATAAGTGGCCTTAAGAAAAAGCAATGCACTTTTAATAAGCATTCACTTTCTGTGTATTAATATCAATTACATAATTGGTTTACTTACATACTATTTAGTAGAGTAGGCAGTTAGTTGGCTACATTGGCTCTGTACAGTGTTCGAATTTCTCAGAATGAATAGACCACCAGGGATCAGGTTAGAAACACAGTGCTCCAGGTTCATAATTTTTCAAAAGTTCTCAATGCTTTCTTTTTTTTAAAAATTAAAACAAATGTTTAACGTGTTTAACAAATGATTAGACTATGTGGAACAAACCTGCATAACATTTTGATTTTGTACAGTAGAATAATTTTCAATTATGCTACGCTTCTTATTTGCCTAATGGCAGACTGGCACACCCCAAAGATTATTAAAAGAGAGAAGATGGCTGGTAAGGATATTCTTATAGTGCTTGGCTCTCCTGAATTCCTCAATGATATTCTTGGCATACCTCACCATTTCTTGAACTTCTTCAGGCTCTGGAGAAGTACTCAGCTTCTGATGAATCTCCATTTTGGCCTTGTCCTGTAAAGCCACATCCCAGAGTACAGTAAATTTACTGGAAATGAGGGATTACAAAAAGGGAGAATATTAAATTACTAAATTAATAAAATGGGCATTACTACAGAGGCTGAAAGCCAGAAACCATTGTGTTTGAGAGAACATCTTGAAAATGGTACTGGCTAAGTGTTTCAAACCAAGGTCAAGCCAGGCAGCAGACCAACCAACCACATGCTAGCTGCCTTGGGGCATAACCTATTTTCACACAATATTGAGACTGGGTCTGTTCCCTGAGATAAATGTAATCAAGAACGCAGAAAATGCAAGATAGTTCATTCTAGTATAAAGTGGATTATACCATATGCAATGCCACCTTAGATGTGAAGGTATAACTGCTTCAGACAGATCTTAAATGCTTAAGTAATTTTATTGTAAATACTGTAAAAGAACCTATTACTCATCATGGATTAAATTTACGTTGTTTAGCAGATCCTTAAACCAAATGAATAGGCAGCTGTAAATGAGGCCTTACATACAGCTATTGCACAGAGGATGTGACAACTATTTATAACAATATTCTTGTCCTTAAATCTGGAAATGAAATTAACTCATTTGAAGTGATTTTTATTAATATGACAGATGTAGCCACAAATAGGAAGCCTACTCTATCACTTCCACTAAATAGAGCAACTTGGGCCCAATTCTGAATTTCTACAGTAATTTCCAAACTTTCTCCAAGATCTTTTTCTTTTAAGTAGAAAGAAAAAGCAGTAATCCCTGGAGATTTGACAAAATTGATTTTGATAATCCCCAAGACCAGAAACAGAAACTCTGCGCAGACTAATTGGAAAGACACACCACACACTAATCCGAGCTCAGGACTGATCTGGGGACTCTGAAGCTGTAAGGCAGCAACACTACCCACTGTGCCGCCCTTATGGAATTCAAATACATGAAATTCATTTTCAAACACTTTTGTCGCACCTTCCAAAGTTCATACGTGAAGGCATCAAAATCCAATTTAGTATGTATTTCTGCTTGATATGAAGTGTAACTAGGGCTTCATGGAAGGTGGTGCATCACTGGGTGGATTTTAGTGAACTGGTCTGTGTGAAAGTTCCAGGGTCATTTTCATACCCAGTCCATCCATGATGGAAGATTACAGAGGATGTGTGTCGCTTAGGAATAAGTGAGTGGCAGAAATGGCAAAAAGGTTTCAAAGGGAGGCTGCTAAGAGTAGTCAGACCTTTTCTCTTATTTATTCGCAGAGGAACTCACCCCAGCTAAGTGCCCTATTTTCCAACAGTCACTAGACTCACATACCATTCCCACTATTTGGAAACAAACTGTTATCACACCAGTCCTGAAGAAACCATGTCCAATCAACAATAATGATTACAGATCTATAGCTTTAACGTCTGTGGTGATGAAATGTTTAGAGAAATATACTGTGTCTACACTAAAAGAAGAGGTAAAAATCACAGACCCATTCCAGTTTGCTTATAGATAATGGTGGGCTACAGGTGATGCTATTAACCCTATTACACACTTGATTCTGAAACATCTAGAAGTCTAAGGCTTATGCATATCTGCTTTTTGTTGATTTTACAGTAGTTCAGCTTTTAACAATCTTCAGCCCCACTTACTACTGAAGAAACTGAAACAGATGCGCATTAACGCTTTTATCATTAAATGGTGCCATTCTTTCCGGTCAGATCACATTCAGCACATAAAGTCAGCAACACCTTTTCTGAATCTAAAATTATCAGCACCCCCAGGGTTGTGTGAGCTCACCCATTCTCTTTAGTCTGTATATGAATGAATGCACGGGCGGACGTCCACACAACTTCATCATTAAATTCTCGGACAATACTGCTATTTTAAGATTACTGTATAAAGAATTAGGTCCATCGAATTATCAGTCGGAAGTAACAAAACAGGAGTGGCAGTAGGAGACCATAGTCAGGTAATCATCCACAACACTCCCATTAACCAGGTATGCTCCTACAAATATCTCGGTGTCCATACTGATAACGCATTCACATGGAAAACTCACGTTGATAGACTGTGTTCCAGATTACAGCAAAGGCTATATTTTAAAAGAAAGCTTAGAGTGTATGGAATCAATGAGAAACCTTTTTTTTTTTTTTTTTTTTTTTTAAAT